GATCTGACAGCCTCTTATGACCCCCGTGGGCATTGCACAACACGGGTGCACTTACCTACATGCTAGCAATACATGCATACACATAAAATAAAAACAATAAATAAAAATTGGAAAAAACACATAAACATCTAAGTAAATAGGTAAATAAATGCAGGAGGACATGAAATTGGAAGGGTGATTTGATTGGGGGTACTGCAGAGAGGTAGAAGAAGGCAGTGTATCAAGATATCATGTATATATGTATGACATTTTCCAAAGAATAGATAAAAGTATTATTTAAAATAGTATGTAAGAAGAAGGTAAAAAGTAAAGAGCATTAACTGAAGACTTTGTTGTATCAACATTGTTTTCTAAATAAATGGAAAGGAAGACATATGCATCAATAAAAAATGTGGCCCAGCTATACCACTCCTGGGTAGAACTCCTTTTATACTCAAAGGACTCTGAGCTCCAAGTCAACATATGACAGAGACAGGTAACATCATCATCTATTGCAGTACTGTTCACAATAGCGATGGTAGAAAACTAACCAAGCTACCCAACAACACAGGAGCAATAAGGAAAGATGTAGAGTGTGTGTGTGTCTGTGTGAGTGTGTGTGTGAGTGTGTGTGTGTGTGTGTGAGTGTGTGTAGATAGGTAGATAGATAGGTGGATAGATGCCATAAAGAACAAAGTAATCTCCTTTGCAGGAAAATCAGGAAATAATTATATTAAATGCATTAACACTTTCTCAGAAAGACAAGTTTTGCATGTTTTCCTCATTCGTTGTTTCTAGATTTTATATGGATACCTAAAACCATGTAGCATATAGGCATGAGAGTAGGAATAAAACTGTCCAGGGAATCAAGGGGGCTACAGGAGGGGGAGGGGAGGCAAAGGAAGAAGATGTGTACATACAAGCCATAAACTTACATCAAAATTTGAAAAATAAATTTTATTTGATTTTATGCGCATTGCTTGCATGTAGGTAGGTGCATCCATGTCATGAAATGCCAGCAGAGGACAGAAAAGGGCATCAGATCCCCTGGAAATGGAGCTATGAATGATTGTTAGCCATCATGTGGGTGCTGAGAATCAACCCTGGGTCCTCTGCAAGAGCAGCCAGTGCTCTTAAACCCTGAGCCATCTCTCTAGCTCTAAAAAAATAAATTTCAAGCAAAGAAAATGCAGCCAGTTTAGAAAGGAGTAAGTAATGTATTCTTGGGTGCATCACCCTGCACAGAGGATATCTTAAAGAATTTGTTAAATTTCAGTTAGAGTACATTAACACAGTAACATTGCAAGCTTAAAGTTCTATACACAAAATAAGCTGTTTCTATCAAGCACTGAGCTGAACTGTAGACAGCTGATACCTCAGGTGTCTGTGTGCATCGTCAAGAAAAACAAGATGTCATGTAAGGAAGAGATTCAGCAGAGGAAGCTCCCCCTTGCTACTGGTGCCATGAATCTCTATAGAAATGCATGAACCAAAGTTCTGTTGGATCAATACAGACATAGACAGTTACCGATTTCAATGTAGAAAGAGATCTAAAGAAAAGGACCATGTTTCCTAGATTATTAGAAGGGATTGAGTGTGAAGGGGAGAGAGGAGGGAAAGAGGGAATACTGAATCAGTGTGGAGCCAAGAAGTCTTCTCAAATGAGAAGCAAGAAGGGACGACCAGCACCCACCACTGTGCCTGGCTGTTTGGGTGGGAGCTGGAGAATTAGACTCAGTTCCTCATGCTTGTGTGCCACACACTTTACTGACTGCACCATCTCTACCGTCCCTTTGAGCTCTTGCTTATACATTAGAGAAAGAAGGCTTGACTGATACATTTATGTGACTTCTTGTTTAAAATACCTACTCTACCACCTGCTAACTCTCTTTCTCCAGTCCATGTGAGAGTTTATACACAAGTAATGAGAAATTTCAAATGAATTTAATAAATAATATAACGTAAAATTAGATAAAAACCCTAGGAATATATCTAATGAAGAAACTGGAACTTGCTAAAATATGATTCACATAAATTAAAGACTTAAGTAAATGAACATACACTCCATGAGCCATTCATAAAAAATTTAATAGAATGTGCTTCCATCTTGAAATAATGTCACTAAGATTGGAAAATTCCCTGTGGTCTTCCTCTCTCAGAGACATCAATTTGGGCAACTTTCCAGGTATAAAAATACCTTTGTATTTACAGACAAGTGTACTGTACACACTCATCAAAGAAGCCTCTTTGCAACAAATGGAGTCTATCACAGAGTTCCACAACTGGTCACATGCGGAGAATATACATCTGAGAGATGCCCAGTCTTAGCTGACACATCTGCAGTTGAACCTCTACGCCTAAGGCTCATGGGACATAGCAGAACAGGAGGTGGAGAGAAAATTAGTGCATCTCTTAACTCTCATCAGCGAAACTTTCTTATACAACAGAATGTGATGCACACAGAAGGTCACAACTGGCTAAGTTTAAGATAATAAGAAACTGTAGAGTATGTGTCCTGGACAGGACTCCTATATTAAATTCATGCCCCCATGGCTCAGGGACCATTGCAGAAGAGGGGGTGGAAAGAGTGTGAGATCCAGGGTTGGTCTATGAACATAGGGAAACAGAGGCTTTCAGGCCACTGGAAGCTTGCACATGTGACCTTGTGGCAATGGTGGCATTGAGCACAAGACCCATGCCAACTCAATTAGACCAGGGCCCGACAAAGAGCAAGGGAAATGCGTGGTGGGCCCTGGCCTGGGAATTGTTGGCAACTGATTACTGATGGGTGAGAGAGAGTAGACCTTCTTTAAAATCTCTAGATAGACTCACTAGACTCCAATGGATGAACCTGAACCAAAAGACATCTGGGTACAAAGGGTTGACTGGATAGGACTTAACATATATAACAGAATGCATGAGGTCTGGGGGCGGGTACTTGGGAGAAGGGGGATACTGGGGGGAGGGGGATGAATTGGGGAGGGAGTCTAAATTTGATTAAGAGTTATTGTATGAAATGCACAAAAACTCAATAAAAATATTAAAGGAAAAATCTTTTGAAGAGCTAAGGACACAAAAGGTTACACCAACCAGGCGAAGCAAAGAAATAAAAAGAAACCCTACAGAGAGTAGAAAGGCCAGCTTCGTGTTTCCTCCATCACTCTACCCTAGTCACAGCAGCACAGAGCACAGAGAAGGGGAGAGAGAGATGTTTTCATGATTTGTGGGCAGGAAAAACACTAACCATAAAGATATTAAATTTAAGAATTTCTGTTCATCGAAACAAGAAGCAAGTTACACTCTGAAAGAAGTTACCAACAGCATTTACATCCAGCAAAACACCAGCTCCCAGACTTTACAAGAGCACCTACCAGCTCGATAGATAGCTCAGTGGAAAAGCACTTGACTAGCCATGCGAGGCCCTGGGTTCAATGCCCCACATGGCAAAAAAAAATAAATAAAAGGACAGGAAAAAAGGGATAAAAAACTTCAGCAAATCAATGAGGAGAAAAACAACTTTAAAAAATGAAAAAAAGGAAAAAGAGAAAGTTATTTTGTGTTTCCTTACTTCCAGAAATCATTTTTTTACCCTTTGGCGATGGCAATTCTGATTTCTATGACTACAGATTAACTTTACCTATTTAAATTATTTTTAAATTTTTATTTATTTTCAGTTTTATGTGTATGACTGTTTTACCTGTATGTAAGTTCACCTATGTTATCAACGCCTGCAGAAGCCAGAAGAGGGTGTTGGATCCCCTGAAACAGGAGTTACGCAGATGGCTGTTAACTGCCGAGTGGGTGCTGGGAATTGAACCTTAACTGCTGAGCCGTCTCTCCAGGCCCAGCTTTGCCTGTTTTGTACTTCATTTTGTTTTGAACTTCATACTGTGTGACATGTGCATTTTATGTCTCCTTCTTTGACCTGGAATGATGTTTTGGGGATCGATCCATATTGCAGCGTGGTTTGGTAGCTTGTACCCT